GATATATAGATATATATATATATATATATATATATATATATATATATATATATATATCAACACATAATCAATCAGCAAACATTTTATCTAAGCACAATTCCATTTCTAATTCACGCCTGGTGGCGCTAAGCTCAATCCGAAAGCTCCTATTCGCTCGTGCTTGGCTTCGAGATATCATGCTTGAGATTAAGTTGTGAGACCCCTTTCCCTCTTTTTCCTCCTTCACTTTCACTTACTCTTTCTCTTCACTCTCTCATTCCCTACTCACTCTCCATGTTCTTATTCTTGCTGTCTCAAGGTGGTGGGGTGGAGTAGTTCGGATTTCTAGCTGAGTATTCGGAGCTCTTTTTCCTCCTTTGTTGTCCAAGCTTGTTCTTCTCCTCCGATCAAGCTTCTCTTCTTCTTCTCCAACTCTCTTCCTCTTCGTTCCGTTTCTCTTCCCAGAAGCTCGGATTCTTCACCCGAGGTAAGGGAAGCTGGTTATTTCCGTTGCATTTGGCTGTGTATGAGTCCAGAACTCATTTGTTGGTTAGTGATTTTTTTAAATTTCAAGTTGGGACTGTTGAAAAATGGGGTTTTTGATAAATTTGGGGTTTATGATGAAGTTGTGGTTGCATGTTGAAAAAGATGTTATTTTTGAACTCTTGGATGAAAATGGGTTACTTTGGCCGGGTTGCATGTACTGGAAAGTGATTTTTGGAGGGACTTTGGGAAAATTTTTGCACTTGGTTAGGTTTCAGATGAGCTTCGCGCTGAGCGCTGTTCATCGCGCTGGGCGCGTGGCCGCCATGGGACCTCATTTAACCAAGCTCGCTGAGCGCCTTGATGAGTGCGTTGGGCGTGCTTGAGAACGTAGGTCTCTGGTTGGCCCTCGCTGGGCGCTACTTGGACTGCGCTAAACGCGATACCATTGTAACTTGCTGTTAGGCTCTAGAGGCTGCGCTAAGCGCGGCCCTTGTCGCGCTGGGCGTGAGACTCTTTGGGAGTCTTTGCCTCGTGGGCGCTGGGCGCAACTCCGAATTGCGCTGGGCGCGAGACCAAGGGGTGGTCTCTGCCTTTCCCGCGCTGAGCGCTGGGTTAGGTGCGCTGGGCGTGTGAGACTCCTTGGAGTCTCTGTCTGGCCTGCGCTAAGCGCATTTAGTATTGCGCCAAGCGCGGGAGAGCCTTGTGCTCTCTGGCTGAGTCCCGCTTAGCGCGAGCCTGCTTGCGCTGGGCGCGCTAGCCCCCTGGGGCTCTCTGGTTGTACTGCGCTGGGCGCAACTTCGAGGGCGCCGGGCGCGGGGATGAGACATTTCCTTTTATGTATTGAATTATGTTGTTTTATGTTGATAAGTTGAGTTGTATGTTGATAAGTTGAGTTGTATGTTGATAAGTTGAGTTGTATGTTGATAAGTTGAGTTGTATGTTGATAAGTTGAGTTGTATGTTGATAAGTTGAGTTGTATGTTGATAAGTTGAGTTGTATGTTGATAAGTTGAGTTGTATGTTGATAAGTTGAGTTGTATGTTGATAAGTTGAGTTGTATGTTGATAAGTTGAGTTGTAT